GTAAGGAGGTCTATTAATAATTTAGAGGTCTATCGCAGATGCGTAAAGGTCAGAAACTCATGCTCCGGAAAATTCAGATGTGGAAATTAGGAGTTTCGATACCATTTTTTGATATTTCAAGCTTGATTAAAGATGGCCGCTTCTATCACAAAGTTGAATATTCTGGARCATCCGCACTGTCGAAAAAATAAATCCTCCTCAATTTGGTTTTATAGACTCTAATCAGATTTAAAGGTTCAAACTCTAAAGAATTACAACGTTGCACTCGACTCACAAGCAAACTCTCACACTCTCYCTCATCCCATAATATTTTCTAACATCTTGGGCACAGGAAGCCCAAAGTTCAAAGTCCTAAGTCAAAAATCTTTTAGGACGCAGTAAGGAAATGTATTTCTGTTACACGTAAGGTGTCAAGCAAAGTTGTACCCCACACCTCGCCCCTTATTTWTAAGCAATAAAAAAGTCCCAATTTTCTGTATTTAGTGTTGAGGTTGTCTCGGCGGCTTCAACGTGTCTCAAGCAGATCCTCAGCACTAAAAGCGGAGTGAGTTTGATGAAGAAATACGAGGAGCTTAAGGCTGACCAGTTGTTATGGTACCTAGAACCCTTCAGACCTTCACGCAAGAAAAGGGTAATTAATACACCTTTTACCGTAATGCTTTCCCATTTCAGACCACGTGTCATTCTCTAGAGTATCATTTCTTTGTTTAACGGTTGCACATGAGAAAACTAGAGAATAAAACTCAAACAAAAAAATCTTATTCTCGCGTGAATGACACGTGGTCTGAGGAAAAACATTACGCCCTAAGGTAAGGAGAAATAAATATACTGCTATTTCAAAAAAAAGGTCAGTGAAGGTTTGGTCGCCTTTTATATGTTGCATACCAAGCCCGAAACGCACTATGGGTGATGTAAATACAATCAGCGAAAGGTCAAAACCGATATGGGATTTTCCGAAACTTTGTCTACACGTTGCAACATGCAAGAAAACCTTCACCAAGCTCTTTTGAAATAATTGTACATTATTTTGAAATACATTCTGAACTGAGATAATAACGCCCAAAATAATAGGATTTATTTGACATTTTAGACTGCATGAATAGTGATCTCGTGCAYTGTGATTGGTTCATTGGATATCGCTAACACCGTTACCTTAGATTGTGCTGTCATGTTTTAAACATACATTTTCTTTCCCGTTTCACGTTAGTCATTTTTGTTTGTCTTTCAGTCCCTCGCATCAACACCCATCTCGATACCCGATGAGGACTTCAAAACCTCCATTGGTAATCAAAATCTCTGGATTCCTGGAACCACTAATGAGAACRCAAGTCACACGTCATGGATCACGTGCCTGACACGTAGTTTAATCGAGAGTGRAGCTGTGCAAGATGATGTGCTTTTACTTCTATCACCAGTGTGTGAAGCCAAGGTAATGAAAATGAGTCAAGGGTAGAAGGAGTGCATGAATCTATCTAATTATCCCACAACATAGAAATTACAGCCAATCAGAATGCAGGAAAGCCGTTGAGTACCGACTCTTTTATAGAAAATATTTCCAAGATGGCGTCTATTTCGTCCCCTAAAACATACCCACAATGCACTGTAATTCTAACTCGACCCAGTTTTTTATTCAACCTCGGAACGCCTAAATATGCGAAAAATCGAATACCACTGATCCGGTTTTCCCATTTCGGTGTAGGTGGAATTCGCTGAACACATATTTCCTTACTTGATTCACAACATACTTGAATCAGGAGATGTTCACAGAGAAGTTCTCTCTGAGCACATCCGGGGTTTCTTCGTTCACTGTAATGGCGGGAACATGATGACAAGCCGTCCAAGCTCACCTATATCTGTTATCGACCAGGGACCTGCACATCAAGGTTGGTACAATACAATAGGCGACTTGCACTAAGAGGTCACGTGATCAAATCGGCCATTGTGGCTGGCATTCCACAGGATTTTAGCTATG